GGGGGGGGGGGGGGGGGGGCTGGATCGAGGCAAACAGGGGGCCCCCACCCCCAGTTCACAGCTCAGGGTCTTGCCTTCCACTCTGCCGTCTTCTTCCCCTCCAGGTATTTCAGCTCCCATGCCTTGTCCACTTGCTTTTCCAGGCGCTCCATGGCCGCCCCCAGCTCCCGCTGGCAAGACAAGCACAGAGTGTGAGCCCCCGGGAATCCCCCTCCCTCGGGCCTGGCCCAGTGGGAAACCTTGCGCACCACCCCACCTTGGCGCAGAATGATGGGGCGAGGGTGCACGTCCTCCAGCAAAGCACCGCGGATGCCCTTCCCGTGAGCCTTTGCACGGAGGGCTCGGTGCAGGTTTCCTGGGGGTCGGACTCAGCCTCCCCTCTCACTTTCCCATCCAGGCGCGGAATAAATTTTATGGTGTGCGCCATGGCACGTGCAGATGTGCACCACCACTAGACACACCCGCTGCCAGCGCTCTGCTCATCTGATGAATCTCTCCTGGAGGGCCACCCCTGCTTTGGCTGACTGCCCGGTGGCCCCCGGGGTAGGTGGGGTGGGGAAGGAATTGAACCCACAACCCAAGGCTGCAATGCCTTGGTCTCATTTTGGCAGAGGGGTTTAGTGAGTGGGCACTGGGCGCCATCAGTGGCCTGTCCCCTCTAAGCTTTTCAAGCTTTTTCCTGTCCATGTGCGGAATAATTTTGCGGGCATGTGGGCCAGTGCAGATGTGCACCACCCGGGGACATGCCCACCTCGCTGGGGCAGAGTGCTAATCAGCTGTCAGTGTCCTGTTCCCTCTAAGTTTTCCCAGCTATGTGCGGATCTTTTCCGATCCATGTGTGGAACAATTTTATGGGCACACAGGCCGGTGCAGATGAGCACCACCCGGGGACACACCCACCTCGGTGGGGGCAGGGTGCCTATTAGCTGTCGCTGGCCTGTTCCTTCTACGCTTTCTCGGACAGGTGAAGAGTTTTCCAATCCATGTGCGGAATAATTTTATGGGCACAAAGACTGGTGCGGATGTGCACCACCCGGAGACACGCCTACCTCGCTGGGGGCAGTGGAATCTCGCATGAGCGCCCAGATGACAGGGCACGCTGAGGATGGCGGGCGGGTAGGAGCGAAGTGTGGGGTGGAATATTTCTTGGGCGCAGCTGTGTCCTGGCTCCTGGGCACCCTTGCCCGGCCGTGCTCCTGCCCCGGGGCAGCAGTGTGGGTCAGGTCTCCCCCAAAGAGAGCCCTACCTTGAACTCCTGGGCTGCCTCTTCCGTGGGAACCACAGCGTGGGCGCGGGGAGCCTCCGTGTCCCGGCAGCTCCGGCAGAGTAGGGTGCCGTCCTCGGTGCAAAACCGGTCCAGGACCTCCCGGTGCTCCCTGCACTCCGGCTCCCTCTCCGGCTTGTCACTCGCAGTGTGGGTCAGGTCTCCCCCAAAGAGAGCCCTACCTTGAACTCCTGGGCTGCCTCTTCCGTGGGAACCACAGCGTGGGCGCGGGGAGCCTCCGTGTCCCGGCAGCTCCGGCAGAGTAGGGTGCCGTCCTCGGTGCAAAACCGGTCCAGGACCTCCCGGTGCTCCCTGCACTCCGGCTCCCTCTCCGGCTTGTCACTCACTTCC